TATTATGGCAATGTTACAGTTATGTATCTGTGTTTGCTGGGATGCAACATATCGAATTGTTCAACAGACATCCTTGTAAACTTGAAAAACTCTTCATGATCACTTGTTTTGAAGTATTTAAATAATTTTTGATATTTTAGTCACGATGATTATATAAAGTTTACAAAGAGCGGCTAGTAAGATTAAAGATATAATAAATATTTGTATTAGTTTAAGTTGTATGATATGACCTCAACACAGGGGACTCAGACATTAGACTAAAAATTCTTTTAATAGTTTCCATTCTTATATAAAATAAAAAATTTGATAATAATTTTCTAATATGCAAGATAGTTCAGATTTTAATAAATAAATGTTAAGATTATATAAAGACAAGAGAGATGTGAAAAAACTCGTTGTATGCCCAGCACGATCTTTTTGCATCCGGATATCTGAATATTTCGGATACAAACAGATTGTAAATTTACACAATTGCAAATTCAGTTTTTTCTTATTTGTTTTAGATATTCTCTGTCACTGAAGGAAGTCGAATGTGCACCAAAAAATTTACATTTTATAATTTTGTTACTATAATACAGAAAATCCATATACACATTAGATCTTGACTCTTATAGCCCTACTTTCTTATTATTTTTTTCATATGTAAGGATATTATTGTCAATAAATATACATAAAGTATTATTGCATATATATTATATTGCTATGTTGCTGCAATATTATATTGCAATATTTTGCAATGTTTCTGCAATGTTGCAATCTTGCAGAAAAATGTTGCTGCAATGTTGTTACAATCTTGCGGTGCTGTATGGGCAATGACGCCTACCACACCTGGAAAATTACTAATGGCAGCAAATTCTTCTTGTATATTTGTTATTTCATATACTTCTGGCCATTTAATATAATTTTGAACATGTTGCTGTGGTAAGCCACATTAAAAACACATCTCCATACAGTGTCTTTAGAAACCCCAAACCGATCTACAACGGATCTGAAATAAGAAAATAATTTGCAACAAGCAAAAACTTATTTTTGTTTGTAATAATAAAAGAAAAAATCGAAAAATCTTTTAATTACTAACCTATACACTTCTTGATTGCCAAAAATCCATAACTCAATAGCTAATTGCTTAACTGGTGGTAATTTAGAAGAATTATTTTCCAATAATTAATTATTTTCCAATAATTCTAAACCAAATGTTTGTATCAATAGCTCAAAAGTATTTCTTTCAATACGGTAATGTAATTTGAAATTTTTAATAAAATAATATAACAATATTATTATACATGTTATGAAAAAAATAAATAATACATAGATACAGCTTTATCATTACCTGTTAAAGAATAATAAAGAATAACATTTTCAAAATAATTATTGATTTTGAGATGTCCCATACAGCACCGCAAGATTGTAACAACATTGCAGCAACATTTTTCTGCAAGATTGCAACATTGCAGAAACATTGCAAAATATTGCTGCAATGTTGTTATGATATTGCAACAACAATAAAATGTCCGCCTACAGAAATATTGCAGCAACATAGCAATATAATATATATGCAATAATACTTTATGTATGTTTATCGACAATAATATCCTTACATATGAAAAAAATAATAAGAAATTAGGCCTATAAGAGTCAGGATCTAGCGTGTAAATAGATTTTCTGTATTATAATAACAAAATTATAAAATGTAAATTTTTGGGTGCACATTCGACTTCCTTCAGTGACAGAGAATATCTAAGAGAAATAAAAAAAAACTGAATTTGCAATTATGTAAATTTACAATCTCTTTGTATCCAAAATATTCAGATGTCCGGATGCAAAAAGATCGTGCTGGATTTACGCATACAACGAGTTTTTTCACATCTCTCTTGTCTTTATATAATCTTAAAATTTATTTATTAAAATCTGAAGTATCTTGCATATTAGAAAATTATTATCAAATTTTTTATTTTATATAAGAATGGAAACTATTAAAAGAATTTTTAGTCCAATGTCTGAGTCCCCTGTGTTGGGATCATATCATACACAACTTAAACTAATAAAAATATTTATTATATCTTTAATCTTACTAGCCGCTCTTTGTAAACTTTATATAATCATCGTGACTAAAAATTAAATGCGGAAAATCTCAATCTTCAATGCGTAGTCTGATACGGACTTAAGACATCTTAAGATTGTGCTTAAAACGGTCTTAAATATAAGAACTGACTATGAATACCGGCCATAAAGTGGGCGCTTATTAGCCTTGTTGCATTACTGCTGTCACGAGAGGCCAGAAAGCATTTTCAGGCCGTATTTCGGCCATAAAGCGATACGCTAGAGGAACAAGAATAGCACGCGACTATCGCTCCTTGTCTGACATTATCTCCCACAATCGCATCCGTGTGCTCAACGTATCGGTGTGTGCCTTCACGGACGCTACACATACGCGATGAAAGAAAGACAAAGACAGCGCAATCATCTCTCTTTGTCAAACGATCAGTACAACCAGCATCGACAATATCGAAAATTTGATGTAGCACGGACATGAACCGAGACCGATAGTATCGAAAAGTGGACGTAGCATGGACATGAACCAATTGGTTGTTTTATCATGCCACCGAAAGTGGACGTGGCCATGTAGTTCCAAGCGTCTGTAGAATGGACGTAGAGGCGCTGCTATACGGGACCGAAAGCTATCGTACGAAAAACGCTGGGATGGCCGTTCTCAGGCTTCTCTCTGGTAGGAGTTAGCAGTCTAGTAATATATAGAAGTCTGTGGTTTTGCATTATTACCGCATGGAGGTCTTCAATGTCAATTCGGAGTTCACCCGTTACTCCTCCTGATCGTACATACGAAAAATACCGGTGTGACCGCTCTCGCAGCTCTCACCGCTTCTCTGCTGACATTTAAAAATCGCTGACTGCCACAAAGAGTGTGAATCCATGGATATCGTGTATACATATATTATAAATGTTTGTGTGATAAAGCGGTGAACTAGGTTTGGGAGTGAGTTTTGATATGATCGCTCGCTCTCTCTATCGTATGAACATTATGGATAGACGAAATAACCGCGAAGTGGTGACGGTATTATTCCTGTGTCTGCTGTGGTATGTGATATCTAGCAGCAGCAACGTTGTCGGTAAGATGCTGTTGTCCGAGTTCCCGTATCCGCTCACCGTCACCATGGTCCAATTAACCTCGATCACTCTTTATTCCGGCCCATTCTTCAATCTATGGGGCGTGAGACGATATTCGTCCAACATAACGTGGAGCTATTATTTACGGCTCATCGTACCCTTAGCCTTAGGCAAATTCCTCGCAAACGTGTTCAGCCACGTCAGCATTTGGAAAGTACCTGTTTCCTATGCTCACACTGGTATGTATACATAACACAAGCCTTTAAAACCCCACATGCCCCACAAATGTGCCACGCATATACAGGATAGGCTCGGCACCATAACCACTTCTTAAATAAAGGCAAACGCTCGGTCTAGATATACTATGTCTATGCTCGGCACGCTGTTAGCGCTATGAGCGTGCTCTGTCCTTGTTCAACTTTCAGTAACAATGATAGAACAACACTGTTAGCGCTCATAGCGTCTCCTCGAATCCAGCCGCAGGTGTCTCAAAAATGGAGATCAATCGCTCGGGAAATGATGGGGACTCAAAGACAAGAAAAAAAGTTGTTATGGACATAGGTCCGGAAATGCGTTGTTTTCGATTTATCGTCATTTTTATGTCGAAATTGATTTCAAATTGCTTCGCTTTAGAATTTTTTAGTCAAAATTAAAAGAAGAGATGGTTTTTAGGAGTTTTATAATATAATTAAAGTCAAATAAAAGTTGCGGGCTGCTTTAGCACTACCCAGGATAAAAAATATAAATAAATACAAAAAAATAAATAAAATAAAATAAATAAATACAAAGCATTTCTTCTTTCAATTTTGACAAAAAAATACGAAAGCAAAGCAATTTGAAATTTCAATATAAAAATGGAGATAACTCGAAAATAACGCATTTCCGAACCTATGTTCATACCAACTTTTTCTCTTATTTTTGGGTCCCCAATCACCTTCCGAGCGATTGACTTCCACTTTTGAAACACCCAGTATAGTTTCGAAATGGAATTAATAGCAAATGTAACAATCTTTTACATGTTGCCGAAAATATACGCAATTATTGTCAAGCACGCCAAGTCTCTGCACAATTAGAGAAATTGAAAAAATTCAATAATAATGCCGAATATGATACGCAATGCTTGAGTTGCATAATCTTGTTTCTTGGCAAGATTTTATATTATATAAACATAACAGTGTGTTTGTAAATGGATATATTCTAGAATGTTTACTCTCTGGAGAAACATGGAAAATCTGGACTTATCAGGGATTTCTTTTGCATCTGAAATATCAGAGAATTCTTATGAAATTTTATTGGGAGAAAAATTTTTTTAAAAAGATTCTCTGATAATTTTGCTCTCAAATTGTAAACAATTGGCAAGTCAAGGGAATTATGCACTTAAAATATATTATAAATATATATCTATTTCTGTTTGTATAATCAAAGTCTTAACAAAATATTGAATATGCAGTATATACATATTTTTATTATAATTTTGTGGTAAAAAAATGAAAATGTTATATGCAAGTAAAAAATGTTTATCTTGCGGAAGTTATTCAGTTTTTTTTCAATACATTTATATAATCTAGTACTTAAAATTTAAGAGGCCCTGTGTGTTTCCTTTGTATGAGTGAAAAATATTAGAAAACACGCATTCAAAAAATTTATTTTACGAAGTTGCATCAAAAATATTTTAAAAATATTCTCTTTATACTTGGAATTTTGAACAGAAATACCTGGAAGGTCAGGGAATTCTCAGAAAAATTTTTTACAAGATTTGAGTAAAGAGAGAAGAGAGAGATATACCTTAATTCCTTGTTTTAATAATAACATGTCATATATGAATGAATGTATGTGTGAGAATAATTATTTAGAATGCCAATACTGACAGTCAATTAGAACACACATATATTACTCATGTAATATGATTCGAGGAATGATGAATAAAAATACAATATTTATAAAAAATATTTATGCAAATATGTATATGTATATAGCATATATTAAGAAAGTATTATATGGCAGGGAAATTTAGAATTTTTTCTTATGAAATTAAATTACTGTTATCAAGTATAGATATGGAAAGAAATAAATATAAATATATTATTAAATAATCTAACTATGATGATTTTTGTTAGTGCTTATTTTGAAAATATAATTTTATAAGAACTCCCATGTAAACATTGTGCGTTTGCTTTAGTTTTATATTAGTCTTATATTATCTTATATTAACAGAAGTTTGGCTCTGTCCCAGTGAAGGCTACAATGCCCCTCTTTACGGTAGCTCTATCAAGAATAATACTTCAAGAACAACAGACATGGAAAGTCTACTTGAGCCTTGTACCAATAGTCGGTGGTGTAGCGATTGCTACGCTGACAGAGCTTAGTTTCAACATGATTGGCCTGATAAGTGCATTAGCATCTACTATGGCGTTTTCCTTGCAGAATATTTATTCAAAAAAGGTAAAATATAAAATGAACCAAATCTTAATAAAACATTTAATTCTATGTCTTACTTTAACTAAACCTTACAATTTATTCGTTTATAGGTACTGCATGAAACAGGGATACATCACTTACGGCTACTGCACATACTTGGCCGTCTGGCTCTGTTTATGTTTTCACCAATTTGGGGTGTATACGATCTATATCGTTTGATATATGAACCGATGATGAGACCATCAGTAGAGATGAGTTATTACATATTAGGATTGTTATTTTTAGATGGTATATTGAACTGGTTTCAGAACATTATCGCGTTTTCTGTGTTATCTATTGTAACTCCTTTAACATATGCGGTAGCCAGCGCGAGCAAACGCATATTTGTGATCGCAGTAACGTTACTCATACTTGGCAATCCAGTTACATGGCTGAATATATTTGGGATGACTATGGCTATAATTGGGGTATTGTGTTACAATAATGCTAAATATAATCAGAAGTTGGAGAAACAAAAAGAGACAATTCTTCCAAAATATTATAATCCAACTCAGAATGGTAATAACAGTTCCTTCATGGTAAATGGATTTGCCAGTAAACAATATCAATCATTTGCAATCTAGTCTCAATTAATAGTTTTATTTTGACAAACTCATGTAAGTTTTCTATATCAGTGAAATCTATCCTTTTCATTTGTCTGTGGATTAGTTTCATTCGCGCAATAAAATATAACCTGATTTGTTATATATGCATATAATTGGCTAGATACATAGAAGAAACTCATGACCAATTATTGTGTGTATTTTTGATTTGCATAAATATTGCAGGAAAATGTGGTTTATATTTCTTGGATTGCGAAAATCAATATTTCTTAGCTAATAAAAAATATTCTATATTTTCGTTCTACATTTGTTGTGATAAATTCGATTTGGTTTCTCAATTTTAAAACTGAACCTGCTGGTAAGGTATAATAGCATTGTTTAAAAATATGGTCTTTTAGCTGATTGCTGGTTCAATTAGCATTAACCACGAAACTGATTACATTCCTGCAAATCGATCTTAGTATATATGAAAAATATGTAATATGTTTTAACATCTTGTATTCTCACATATTTGATGCATATTTATTAATATATAGAAATTACATTGTGAAAATTGTGTTGAATTATCTAAATAATTAAACAGTTACAATACAGTTTATGTATTTGTGATTTGGACATTATACAAATTATATTGTGTTGTTCTAATTTTATTTAACTTCTTTAGTTTTTTAAGTGTCAATATACAGGCGCATGTTCACAGATTGTATGTTGGGCATGTGCGTGCGTGCGTGTGAATTTTATGTAGGAAAAGATGTTTTAACTGGAAAACCACAATCTATGCATCTATTTTTATAAATAATATACACATGTACAAAAATATATTGAAAGCATTATATATTGTTCGAGGCAATGCTCATATATAAAATTACAGTCATGCCTCAAAAATAACTACCAGTATCAACAATATTTAGTTTATTCAGTACTCTTTAAAATATTTAATATTACGATAAAGTATTCTTCAAAGTAACCAAGATATTCTGTAATAAGATTATAGCGATGATATATTAGCAGTTGATTATAGATGATATTGTATCGATTTACAAAGTTTTTATAATATTTTGTGGGGATAAGAGTCTTGCTATGGTTAGATCTAGACGCGGTCCGGCTGCTGCAATAAGCGGAACCGTCAAACAACAGTCGCAGTCTTCCGTGCTGGTTTCGTTCACTCGAAGAATTCTGTCATATGATCGCAGAATACCATCGCAAGGTCCGCCAGGCCGTAAACGATTTATATAAACTCCCCGTTCATAAAGACCGTCTGACACTGAAAAGCCAAAGTCTTCATAAACAGGATCCTTGTGCAACGATACATGCACTATCTGCTGGGCTTTATTGTCGGAATCACCGCATTCTTGTACTCTGCATTTTAAACAAGAAACATTACACGAAGAAACGATCATTGTTGAATAAATCTTTTGATTATAAGTTAATCGATCAATACCCTGGATAAGATGGTATTGATAAGTCTAACTGTCCGCTGTCTACAGAAACAGTATCCCAAATTCTCAATATCTCTGGCATAGTACTACCACTCTCTCCCAATTCGCCCCAAGAATCCACCGCGCTGTCCACACTAGGAAGACTCTCTCTAGCTGAACGTAACACACCAGTTGAAAACTGTGGCTGGACTGTGTCGCTTCCTATACTAAGTTTCCTGGAACAATTTCTATAAAGCTTTTCTTTCAAGTATAAGTAAATAAATTATTTATTTTTCTTTTTTCTTTTCTTTTTTTTTTTTTTTTTTTTTTTTTCTTTTTACTTATTTATTTATTTATTTTTTTTTTTGTTAAACGCATTATATTTTTTACAAGAAATATTACACTTAAGTACACGCTTTTCATATTGAAAAGATAAAAAATCGTTTCTTCATTTTTACGTCATTTGCATTCAATTCATGTTCTTTGAGTGGATATTGTAATTACAAAATTTATATAAAATAAATATTTTAATATACAGGGTGTCTGGTAAAGATTGTGCCAATAACGTAAGCGGTTAGAGCACAATAAACTGAACAGAAAAGTCCTTTACCATTTTGTGATTTTCGTAATAATTATTGAGAAATTAATTAAAAAAGATTGATCAATTCGTGTGAGTATAAGCGCGCAGTAAAAAGGGACAACCCATGTGTGATTGATGTGTGATTGCTAGGACGCGAGAATCCATCGTTATGTACCCTCCTCTTCTTTCTCTCTCCCTCTCTCTCTCTCTCTCTCTCTCTCTCTCTCTCTCTCTCTCGTACATAACCATTGTCATTTGTAGACCGCTCCTCTCAAAACTTCCTCGCGCGCCTAGCAACAACAAACTTTTGGGATGTTTCTGGGCTGTTCTTCCTCGCCGCACGCTTATAGTCACGCGAATTGGTCGATCTTTTTTAATTAATTTCTCAATAATTATTACGAAAATCGCAAAATGGTAAAAGACTTTTCTGTTCAGTTTACTGTGCTCTACATGCTCACGAGCGTTGGCACAATCTTTACCAGACACCCTGTATATTATTTTATGTATAATTTATTTCGTTTAGAAACATTTATTTTAAAGTTATTTGTGTTTTTGATTTACTTTTTTGCTATTATTTTGTACTTTTCTTTTTTTCATATTGTATAATAATTACATAATGTTACTGCATGTGATATACATCAATGTATGTAATGATATATAATGTAACATAACATAATATAATGTAACATATGATAACATCCCAGACAGCACAAGGATGTCCTTAGGACGTCCAAAGGGCATCCCTGTCTGGGATGTAACTAATATATATACAATATAGGATGGCCCATTTTAAATGATGCATTATTTCTTGAAAAATAAAACTTCCATCATGCACGAAAAATGTTGTGTGTACAAAAGTTTTGTGATATTGTGGGAAACATTATAAGATGATGCCATTGATTTTGATCTTGGATGAAGATCATGAGGTTTTTTTAAGATAATCTTTATTTTTTTAAACGAAACTACCCTAATATGTTTATATATAAATCGATTCCTCGCAATATTCGACGTAAAAAGTTATAAGGGTAGGATGGCCAAAAATGAATAGTTTAATTAGTAAATATTTTATATTTTAATAATTTGACATAATTTGTCATAAACTATAAAATATGTCGTAAAATATTCATTTTTCGATTATATTACTTCAATACTTTTATGCACTAAATAAAAATAAGAAAAATCAGTTGGTTTAAAGAAAACATATAATTGTTTTTAAGAAAAAATGTGTAGCTGCACGTTGCAAAATTCTGTTTTTTCTTAAAAGCGGCTACGTGTTTTCTTTATACCGATTGGTTCCTCTCAGTATTTTGTGCAGAAATGTATTGAGGCAAGATAATCGAAAAATGAATATGTTATGAGATTTCATAATTTATGTCAAATCATGCCAAACTAAAGTATAAAATATCTCGATAAATCTCTTATTCAATTTTTTGTCATCCTCTACCCTTATAAAACTTGTGACATCGAATATTGCGAGAAATCGATTTATCTAAACAAATTACGATGGTTTCATTAAAAAAAAATAAAGGTGATCTTGAAATAATCTCATGACCTTCATCCAAGATCAAATCAATAGCACCATCTCTCCAGTCAATGTTGCCAACAATTGTTGAAACAGCTAATTTTGAAAAATTAGAGACAAAGTGCGACGGTATTGTGTTTATTGTATTAAAGTCACGTGAATTCTAATTCTAAGAACGGCAAATTGATGGCAACATGTTAATACTGATTTGCTATTTGTAAACAGGAGATTTGACAGCAACTTGATGACAACTCATCGTTATCGTCGATTTCTCATTCACGATTATTGATACATTGACAATCTTTAAACGTTACGAAAAATACTAATATTAAATTATTCCATGACGTCTTTTTGATAAATATCTTTTTATTGACATTATTAAATAAATAATAAATTATAATAAAATTTATGCAACTCAATTCATAAAACTCAAGATTTTATTTATATGGAAATAAGATTTTTATTTTACATTTCAAGTAGATGTAAAAAACCGAGGATCTTCGCTCATTCGGATACTCATTTATCCATTTCCGAACAATTAGTTCAAGATCTGGAATCCCCCAGATAGTAAAATGTTAGCAGTATGCACGCAGATTGGCAGCAAATTTAATCAGAATCCCACACCAAAACCATATAGCCATATCTGTGTCCGCATTAAGCTCGTGTTTTGTCGACAAAGCCTGCGCGCAATCTGACGGCAGATTGACAGCAGAAATCGAGCCGTATATACTTTACAACTCTTTAAATATTTAAATTCATTTAAATATTTAAAGAGTCTCAATCCCAAGTAACAAAAGTCCTGTACCATTTTTTTCTATAACGCTTAATAAAGGAGTTATTATTGAATAAAGTCTGGTCAATCAGCGCCGACTTTTAGCCGGACGCACGTCAGTGAGCTGCCAAATACAAATACGTTATATTACTTGTTACATTCCGTTTTATTATGGCAATGTTACAGTTATGTATCTGTGTTTGCTGGGTTGTTACTTGGGATTGAGACTCTTTAAATATTTAAATGAATTTAAATATTTAAACTGCAGAGTATGCAGTTTCTAGACATTTATATAAAATGGTACATTTAAATGAATTTAAATATTTAAACTGCAGAGTATGCAGTTTCTAGACATTTATATAAAATGGTACATTTAAATGAATTTAAATATTTAAACTGCAGAGTATGCAGTTTCTAGACATTTATATAAAATGGTACATTTAAATGAATTTAAATATTTAAACTGCAGAGTATGCAGTTTCTAGACATTTATATAAAATGGTACATTTAAATGAATTTAAATATTTAAAGAGTCTCAATCCCAAGTAACAACCCAGCAAACACAGATACATAACTGTAACATTGCCATAATAAAACGGAATGTAACAAGTAATATAACGTATTTGTATTTGGCAGCTCACTGACGTGCGTCCGGCTAAAAGTCGGCGCTGATTGACCAGACTTTATTCAATAATAACTCCTTTATTAAGCGTTATAAAAAAAAAATGTTACAGGACTTTTCTGTTCAGTTTACTGTGCTCTACTTGCTCACG